CACGCGATGTATTACAATGCATTTACAGTTATGTCGCGAAATGCTTTGAAGTACATTTCGCGACGCTCATGCATTGAATTTCGAGGGCGCGGAAATGCATTTCAATACATATTTTCGCTACATGAATAACCCCATAAATATATTGGTGTTATAAATTTGTTCTTTTTTATTATCTTTTCTGAATTATGTAAATATGTTCTACATGTAACAATTTTTATGCAGACACACACTCTTCTCGAATGAATTTCTGAAGTTGTCGGAGCTTATCATTGTCAGGGAGTTTTCAGAAATTACGGAATTATCCTGTTTTTTCAATTAGAAGTCTCAATTTCCTATCATGAAAGCGCGAAAAACTTGTAAAAAATGGGCAGACAAATTTTGAAAACGTTAAAAAAGGCATTCCGCTCGAAACCCGCAAGGGAATTTTTTCTTGCGCCTTTAGCATACTGTAGTGGAAAATCGTCAAATTTCGAGAAAATGGTCAGAATTCCGCTCCGAACATCCCTGATTTATTATTGATTTTCAATTTTAAGATGCCAGTGGCCGAGAAGATCGACACAGAACGCTATGAAATCGAGAAGATCTCGGGAAATGTATAAATTCATCTGAAAAATAATAATCTATGTCTTTTTTTTCAGAAAATTATTAATAACACAATTTTATACAAAATTCAATGGGTCGGATACACGAAGGACTACGATTCAGAAGAGGCCGAATGGAGGATGACGTGCGATGAGAAGCTCATCGAATTCTCGTTATCGACTTTGGATAAAAATCGATATATCGATCGATTGGAGCCAATGCTCTTGAATTATCGAAAGTTCAGAGATGATGCGAAGAGTATTATGAGTAGGGCGGGAATCGGAATTTAAAAAAATCTGTAATTTTGTAGATTTTATCGATCCAGTTTCAATTCTCGCTTTGACAACATTTCAGTGTGGAAGTGTGAAGTTTGTGGATCAAGACACAGTTTCCAGTAGATTTTTGTTGCTTGAGGTTTGGAATATTATCGATTTTAAAGGTTTGAAAATTTTGAATAGTTTTAGTATCTACGAGACAGCAAGCAGCAATATCTCCTCCACACGGCGTTCCTCCCTTCTGAAGACGTCATTGATGAAAGTGAACATCGTTACGCCAGAGAGCTTCAGTCCAGGATGGAAGTCTTCTCGGAGCATCCACTCGTCAAAATCATCATTCCACTGGACATAGAAGGCGTCTTCTATTCCCCACCACCACTTTCTAACCTGATTTTCGAGCCAGTCACAGTTTGGATGTGTGAAAACTCCTCCCATTATGAAAACCTCTTTGTTTCGAAATCAGAAGACGTTGGGTTCAATGGGACGAAGCCGTTTTTGGATTCGGAATATCTAGAGCCAAAAGGACCCAAGCAAGATCCAAAATACTTCCATGCCTTCGAAGCTAATGAAAATAAGAAATTCTACAACGGAATGAAGAGACTTGACTATCAACAGGACCCAAGATTCCATTGTAACCTAAAATTAATATCTGAAATTGGACGTGGATGGGTGTTGAGAGCATCTCATGTGATTCCGAAAGAGACACCAATTATGATGATGGCTGGAGTGATTGGTCCATGGAAACGCGCCCATAATTCGTTGGTTCGGAGTGGAGAGCGAATTGCGTTCAGCTCGTTTATCGAGATTCCGGGGACAGAAATGTGTCTGGATCGTAGGCTTTATCACGATTTTACAAAGTATATTCCTCATAGTGTAAGTGACAAAAAATCGATTGTTAGCAGAGCTTAGGTCCGGAATCTTTAAAGGAAGTTTTCGTAAATATTGACTTGTCTATTTTATCGAGTTTTTGCGATTTTTGTATGAAATTTTGTCGACAAATCGCCGTGATGAATTTTATTGATTTTCAACTTTTTTGGCATAAATCCAAAAAATCGCTCAAAAACAATAAAAACTATAGAAAAATCTAGAAGCACATGCTTCCGTATTCCGGGTCTAAGCTCCGCACACTATCAATTTTTCCCCCCGCGACCAAAATAATAAAAAAAATCATCGTTTCAGTGTGCTCCAACTTGCTCGGTCCGTCTTGTCAAGTCTGGAAACGAATACCCGGATCTCGTCGTCTACTCGCTAACTGATATCAATGCGTCCAATAATTTTTCAATCTCCATCGACTATTATCAGGGATTCAGAAAATATGTGAATCGATATTTCTGGACGAATCGTCATCCAGATGGAAAGATTTTCAATTTATATGAGAATGAAATCGATTTCGTTCATTGTCAATGCATGGAACGACAGTGCAGAACCATTCTGTATATCGATAAATCGCTGAAATCCCATGATCCATCAGTGGGGAAAGAGAAGAAACTCGAAAATGTATGTCAAATTCCTCGAATTGGACTTGCGTGTCAATCAAATTGTTTGCGTACGGAACATTCTATTTTACGACGCTTTATGAATCCGAGTATGCAAACACGATGATGTGCAATGCACGAATTCGAATGCCTTCTGAAAAAATGTGTTCTTTTCAGCTCGACCCGAATTTCGAGTTCCGTGGAATGTCCGTGGTCGCCGACACGAAAAGAATCTGGGAGATCCAGAAGGGCGTCTTCGTTGAATAATTTTAAATTTTTGTTATTTTTGTGCTTCCGTTTCAAGTTGTTTACTTTGTCATACTGTTTTTACAAGCTTCTATTATTGTACCTTTTTTTATATTTTTGTTTAAAACTTCAATACTTTATTATGTTTTTACAAACCGGGTGATCAATTTTAGACAAAATATACATAGGTTTAAAACCTTCGAAATTATTTGAAATTCAAGTTTTTCTTGAACATTCAATTGAACAGGCGGCAGAAAAAAAATTATGGAAAATTTGGATTGAGAAACAACAAAAGAAGCATTATTAGAGAAGTTATAACAAATTCAACAAGAAAACAAAAATTGATATTATAAATTCCTACGACAAATGTGAAAACTCATTTTGATCCGTTGAAAAAGTTTCAAGACAGACTTATGATCCAAATTGTGATGTCGAATTTTTTTCGATCTACATCATAAGAAAATTTGACCTACAAGTTTTTTCTGGATTTCAAGGGCCATTTTTATTGATTCCCGTTTGTTTCATCAAATTATTTGATAACTGCTTTTAGGTTATTTTTTAAACTAGCATAGATATCGACACTCCACCGATTCCGAGGCATCGAAAAACGTTTTTCAATTTGCTTTGATTGTCGATAACTTTGATAATTCGTGAGAAGAGTTGAAGAAGATGAAAATAGAAAAGTGAACTGGATTTTAGATTGATGAATAAAGTTTTTTGAATGTTGATGTATCTGTGTTTCTCCTGCATTATTTTGTGTTTTCACTGTCCTTTTTTGTATTAAAAGATTCAAAAAACTGTGAGATAACACATATTAAATTTTGTAAGTTCCCGGTTTACATTGAAGATTCTAGATAATTCAAATAGAATTTTGTGCTTCAAATGTGCTCAGATAGTGTCTTTTGAATCCTTGATC